CCATCAAGGAACCAAGAGTTCCTGGTCTCTAACAATTGGAATGCAGCCAGGGCTGTTGTAGCACAGGTGAACTTCTCCCAGCATAGAGTAGCAATGAAATAAACATAATTAAAAAAGCATTTGTCTCTTAGGAAGGTAATGTACACTAGCACTGTTCTGCCAATAAAAAATAGCTAATTCAAGGACCATGAGAAACATTCGATTAACTAGATGGCAGAAGAAATATGTGTTAATTGGTAAATGCATGTGGTAAAAATAATCATAATATTGATGTTTTTATAAATGAAAAACTGGAAAAATGTTCCTTTTATTGTATTAAGAGGAGCAGGGCAGCAAAGCAGTAGACAGAAAAAGTATATTTGCCAACATTTTTAAGTTATCCATGTAATATCCAAATACAACTTTGCATCTGGTTGTCCAACTTTTATTTCTTTAAGATAAGTAGCATTCATAAAAACTACCACATTTTCATGTCTGTTTCATGAAGTTATTAATGGTGCTTAAAGCCCTTGCATAGTAAGTTCATTACTTGTGCAAAATGACAATAAAGAAGCTTCCTCTATCTACTAGCAGCTCAGCATAACAACATTCCATTTTATTTACATAAGTTTCACATTTGTTAAGGCAACCTAATAAGCTTGCTGGATATTAAGATTATTGAACATAACACTCCAAGCCTTTCTCTCATATTCCTATGTTCATCAAATTGTAACACAGATCAAACCATCTAAAAATGGTAGTGTGGTGTAGTGTAGTGCAGAGGCTCCCAATCTGTGGGCTGTGGCCCCTACTGGACCATGGCCTATTTGCAACCGGGCTGTGTGAGCCCACTGCTCACAGAAACGAAGCTGTGCGCAAGCGTGCACACACCTGCCCCTCACAAAAACCATCCCCTCTTCCCACCCTCCCCCCAACACATTGGGCTGCGAAACCAGAAAGGTTGGGGAACATTGGTGTAGTGTCAGTGTGTTTGTGAATATAAGGAGCCTGTATTTAAAAACAAGGCAGTCATCAAATGAGACTACATACTTATATATTTAAATTCCCTTTTTATGTTCTGCACTTTTTATTTTTTCTACTTTTGGTTTGTATTAATTATCATTTTAAATGTTAATGTTCAATAAAATTATTGTAAAAAAGTATGGAAGATGCCTGATGCCAGTAAGAAGATACTAGAGCCAAATCACTTTCAGCCTGGAAGAGACTAACACATTTTAGAATATGATAAGAAAAACAAAATAAAGCTATTAAAACTTGCTCAGTTCAAATGTCTTATTACATTATTTGATAAGGGGAAGGATCACCACATTACTAAACCTCTGCAATCATTCCTGCATAAGAATTATTCTTATGGTCAGTACTACAATCGTCAAATGATTATATACCTCCAAGAACACAATCCATTACACAGTTAGCATGCAAACTTTACTCAAAATAAGTTATATTACATAACCCCAAAGGGGCTTGTTTTCTTGACTGGGACAGTCAGATGCTGCTGCTAGTACAAACTATTATGGGTGTGGCCCAGCATATTCTGACAGACCAATGGAAACATAATGACTTTCATAGCAGAACCAAGCCAAATTGTTCTGCTTGAATTATAATATTATTTGGTGAAACAAGCATGGGATTTCCATTTTCTGTGTATTAAAAAGATAGTAAAGTTGAAAATTTTGTATCCTCTGGCTGAGAATTCCCCAACCTTTCCGGCTTTACAGGGGGAGAGGAGATGGTTCCGTGTGAGTGGCTGGCAAGCCCATGCATGTGTGCAGCTCCATTTGCATGAGCAGCATGCACATGTGCCCACCATTCACGTAGGGTGGGTGGGCGCTGCAGCATCTCTGCAGTCATACTTTTGGGAACACACTCACATTTCTGGATGTTTTCTATAGTATTACAAATGATCACAAATGTAAACAAGTAGCAAAGCTTTATTTCAACCTTATTAATGGCACTCTTGGAAAAAAATGTAAGTTTGAGATAATCCTTCTGTAACCTAACATCCTGCGCCCTGGAGATCTTTGAAAGGTGTTTGGTGATGGGCTGGGGTGCAGGGTGCGGAGGAGGCCCAAGTGGCTGTGGGGACCCAAGAGGCGGAAGGCGGAGCATGGTGGGTGAGATGAGGCCTTGGGAGAATGGAGGCAGGTAGTCCAAGGCACCTCATATTCCACTTAAAGACCTGCACATTCATTTAACAAATGCATTGGGGAGAGCAAGGATAGATTAAGGATGGAGTCCTTAGATGAGGTGGTTCATTTAACGCCCTCCAGACTTTCAGATGTATTGGTCAAGATCTATTACAGTCATAAAGGATGACCTGAATGTTGCTTTAAAAATCCTCTGAGTGAAGATGACCAATTTAAATGTAAACCATCTTGTTCATTCATCATAATGAAGAGATCAAAACAGTCTGTGAGATTGTGCATTCTCATCCTCACAAGCATTTCTCTGTAAGACACAACTTTTGAAAGGGAACCATTCCCTTTATTGCTTCCCCACAGTTAACTCCAATATATGCGCTGATGCTAACCACAGCAACAAATATAAAGATCCAAAACGTACACTTGCTAAACTATAGTGAAGACTATTGGAATCAAGTGATACGTGATAGTGAGATGGGCAGTATACAAATAAATAAATTTAAAAATAAAATAATTTAATACATAAAATATCTAGAATGTGTAAATCAAATTTAAATCCTTCCAAACATTACAGTTACAAAGTAATTAATATGACTTTTGCCTGCTACCAAATGAACAGCTTTCACAAATGTCTAAATCCTAAGCACTAGCTTATATATTTAACTCAAAGCCACTGAAAAACTCAACACTAAATACCGTAAAATATTTGAAACAAAGCGCTAGTAAGTTCAAACAATACAAATAGTAAAATACTTACATAATAAAAATACTTAAAATAATAAAGATACAACGCAACTAAGTTAAATGAGAAAATACTTATTTGGAAATAGATTGTTTTTTTAGTGATTACTGTATTTGCCTAATAGGAGGCAAATAGAATTACCTGATTCTGCAGTGCTTCCAGTTTACATTTTCTTGTGTGTAATGCTTTACTTGGGAAAGCCCAAAAATAATTTGATGTTCCAATCCTCTCAGTGTCTACCATACCATCATCAACTAAGCTCTGTAAGATATCCTTCACTGACATAGACGCTGTCAAAGAAATAATCATAATTATTTTGAAAACTTATATAGATTAGGGAAAACAAATTATTCATTAAAACATCAGGAGCATAATAAAGATTCAGAATGTCCTTTGAGAAAATTTCAACAATTTCTGAAAATTTTGCAAATGACCACAAAATAACAGATGACAAATTAGGCTTAATTATGCATATAGCAAACCAACACACAGAGTTCCATTAAAATCACTGTTACGAAAAAATTGCAAAAAAGTTGAATTTACATAGCTTTTTCTTGTAAGAAACTATATTTGTAACAGAACAGAGGCAATTCTAATTCTGTAAGTACATGGAGTAAATATCAAGAGGATCCTTCAGCACAGATCCAGAGGAATTTCAAATTCTTCCCAGTCCATTATTATTTCTCTAAAGGAATCCTGAAAACATTGATTTCCTATTACTGTATACAATATGATGTATTCCTCTGAACTAGTTGATTTTCCCTGGGATTTATCCTTCCCATCTCCTGAGATCAGGACACTTTTAATATATGCAGTCAAATCAAGAAAAAATGAATGTGCACACTTAAAATTTAAGTCAGGTTTATGAAATCAGTCCAAAAAATATAAATATTAGGTAATTTAGCTCAAATATTATAGATAAACTGCAGAATAAGTAAACGGTAATGCTGTTGAAACTACCTTTATCTGCATCTCTGTTATCTTTACTGAACACAGATTACATAACTGAATTCATGTGTCATATTAGCAAGGAAACAGGGTTAGGGGTTATGTTTTGTAGTTACCCTCTAAACATTTACATACATGCATACATACAATATATTATGAATTCTACAAACAATAGTAATTTTGTAAGCTATTACATCTCATAGAAATATCAATTTTATCCTAAACCTATTTATCTGAATTAAGGTAAAGTCAAA